AGATTTAAACTAGGTGTTTTCTTTTCATTTATTTTGTTGACCATACTGACATTAAGGTTCCTGGAGTTGATAATCTATTTTTGAAAAACCTCTAAATAATTTTTCCAAAGTATAATATTTCAATATAATTATCAACACAGACACTGTAGTCATATTGGATTATAGACTATAAAATTAAAAAGTTGCCCTCAAGTTTCTTGGATTCTGATTAATAAACACTCAGAAATAGCAGTATGTTTTATGCTATCACATAATTGGTTTAAATGATATGTAATATAGGCGATCAGAGAGCAAGTTGAGGGCTGGAGAGGTAGAGAATGGCTCTATGAATTTAATAGAAATTAATTGGACCTTATTGGAAACAAGGAAATGTGCCACAGTGCAGAGAAAATATATCATATACCTCAGTTAAGTTTTTACTTTCCCAAAAAAATAGCTGTTCCCAGTTTCCCTCTTACATTCCCTCTTCCCTTTTTGTGGTTTGGAACATAGTTTTTCTTGTACTTCTTTTCTTTGGACTACTCTGAGGCCTGTGATTTGTGTTGCTGTTAAGACATTGTGGTGAGGTGGAAAGATCTTGGGCTTCGGAGTCAGACTGACCCAACCTCCAATTCTTATGGCACCATTGACTGCTATGTACCTGTGGGGAAGTTCAACAACTTTGAAGGCAGTATGAAAAGTAAGTGAGCTAATAAATTTAAAGGTTCTCAAAAAATGTTAACTATTTTCCCCTATTATTGCAAGTAGTCAGTAACAACAGAGAAACAGGTTAATTAGGTTAATGGCATCCTGTGATGAAATTATATTAGACTAGAAGAGCAAAACACATTACAAGGAAGGTTATTAGGTAGAGCGGTTACCATGGGACTGAGAGTGTGAGAGGCTTGTAGTCAAATCCTGACTGTAACCCATGTTATTACCTTTTTTTCCTGGCGGAATACAGACCAGAAGTGCTATTTTCTTGAACAGGGAGAACAAAATTCTGTACATCTTTTTAAATGAACTGAGTAGTTGCTGTTAAGGTTTATTGTGTCACTTAGGAAAGACTCATAATTGAACATGTTAGGAATTACTAAAATAGAATCAAGCAATCATTTTCTTTCTTCGCCCCCCCCCTCCCCTCCCAAAAGACTCAGGTACAAACTAAAAGACTTGGGGAAACTTTAGGGAATCCAATTTTTTTTCTTCATGGATGTCTTTGAGTTTCAGCAACTTGTAAGCCTATGGTGGGAGGAAAACTATGGTAAAGAAAACAGACTCAGGGAAAATGTCAAAATTAAAAGATAATGGACTATTTAATATGGGATTTATTGTACATTTTTCTAAAGAAGCCCTCTTTAAATACAAAATTAATGCTTGTGGCTCCAGCTGCCCCAAATATCAATAACACTGAGCATGCCAAGCATTTCACATTTTATGTATTTCTCATCTATGTGGTAGATATGATTATTATCCCCATTTAACAGATAGGGAGATAGAAATTTTTAAAAAGGTAAGTGACTTGCCTAAGATGAAATTTGAAGTGGTGGAGCCTGGTTATCTATTTAGGTCTGCTGGATTCCAGAAATTTAGCCCTTAATCCCTATTGCGAAACAACCAAAGAGACTGACATGTGAATCTCTGGGAGAGAGATGGTTCCTATGCAGAGAATTCCCCCTTCATTATGTGTTGTAGGCTCTGAAGCTGCATAACTTTTCCTACAGCTCAGGTTGGAAATGATATCTGATAAGCCTCTGCAGAGCTTATGAAGCTTAAGAGGGCAAAGGTGCATATGATGTGTAGCTATTGAGATTTCCTGGACATGGTTGGTTCCTTCAGTTAGTACATTTTATATCACATCAGTTTTTCAAGGATCTGCCATTTGTACTCTCTATACTGAGACAAATTATGAACACAGTGCATTTTTTCATACTTCATCTACTCTCCTGCACTCTTCATTGTTAGTCATACTCACTAGTTGAGCTCATTGGGTAAAACAGAAATAAACAATACATTGGATAGGTTAAGAGGGGAGGGAAGATGAGGGAGATCAAAGGACAAAGGTCTGTGAGTGAAATACCTCGATCATTTACCTGATGTTTTGTCTCTCCAGAAAATTCACCCTTTAAATATGCACAGAGACTTCTGCTTCCAGGAAGATGGAGTAGACATCCTTTTTGCTAGTTGTCCCACTAAATACAGCTAAAAATCCTGAAACATAAAAATATTCTGAAAGGTGGAAAGAAGGCTGATGACCGTCTGGGACCTAAAGAACAGATGAAAGACATGGTGGTAAATTCCCTGGGTTTTCTTTTTGTCTCATAATCTTCTGATTAGGTGCTAGAGAAGCTGGTGACAAAGAAATGCCAATGGGTTCAGACCTGGCCATGGGCCAGTAGAGACCATGGTGGGGTAGTCTGGACATCCATGACTACCACAAGGTACCCCACCCTGAGGGTCAATGGAGGGCCATGGAGAGCAGTAATTAAGTCTCCTCTATCTGGCAGTAATGAGGCAGTATCTTCCCTTCCCCTAGGAGAGTGGTGTGAGAGGAAGCCTGATAAAATACAAGACTTATATAAGACCTGGAGTCTTTAATATAATATTCAAAATGTCCAGATATCAATGAAATCACTCATCATACCAAGGAAGATGTCAACTTGAATTAGAAAATATAATAAAAAATGTCAATACTGACATGATAGAGATGTTAGCATGATCTGACAACAATTTGGAAGCAGCCATTATAGAAGTGCTTCAACTAGCAATTACAAACATGCTTGGAACAAATAAAATAAATAGAAAGTTTTAGCAAAGAAATGTTACAAAGAAAAGCCAAATAGAAACTTTAGAACTAAAAACAAAATAGCTGAATCAGTGAACCTGAGAATAGAACACTAGAAATTACCCAATCTGAACAACAGAAGACATAAAGAAATAAAGAAAGAGAAAGCAAACCTTGGGGACAAGTAGGACTGTAACAAAAGGTTTAACTACTGGGTCACTGAAGTCCCAGAAGAAAAGGAGAAATGAATGATACTGAAAGAATATTTGAAAAAAAAATTGCTAAAAATTACTTAAATTTGGGAAAGACATAAACCTAAAGGTTTAAGAACCTGAGTGAACCCCCAACAGGATAAACCCAAAATAAGACACATCACATCCAACCTTCTAAAAACTAAGGGCAGTGATAAGAAAGTCTTGAAAGCAGCCAGAGAAACAATGTAGGAAATGCACTGATTTTTGGCATTAGAACAGGCTTATTACCAGCATTTCTTGTTGATTTCAACTATTAGTTTTCTGCATTTTTAACTGGGCTCAACAGAGTTAACATGTACAAAGCATTTACTGGACATCTACAAGTTATGCTGGGCACCTGAGGGACATTTGTCAATCCTGTTTTTCCTCTGTTCCAATAGCTGGTATTATCCCTCAGAGCAAATTAAGAAATTCCAGAATTGGGAAAAAAACCTCATGAAAAGGAAATACAAGAGCAGAAATTAGTAATTTGAGATTCCTGGATGGACTTCAGCTCTGTTAACTCCCTAAAATTAATCTAAAAATGCCAGCATGTATATGCATTTTTCTCAGAAAATGAGCATACCTTTTATCAGAATCTCAAAGAATCTGATGACTCCCCAAAAGTTAAGAGCCACTGTTAAGAATTTCTGTTCTTTTCAGGCAAAACCATAACATACAAGTTAGACAGGTGAGAAAAAAGGCTAAAAATAGAGAAGTTATTCCCAATTATATTAATCAAAATTCTTGAATGCCTCCTTATGATAATTCTCTAGTTTTAAGGGAAAAATAGGAAAATAGCAGTTTTCTAATTCTTTCTAAGGCACTTCTGGAAATACATGTTCATTAAAGAATGTTTGCCTGTAGTCCTATTTTGAACATTTTAAAAATAATATCTGAAGGTGACTGACTAATGCACTGTAATTTAAAATGCACTTTAGGTTTGATTCCTCCCAATGCCAATGGAGAAATTCAGACATATAAGGAAAAAGCAGCAGCCTCTCTATCTACATCAGTACCAACAGACTAGTTTGTGAGAGAAAGGACAAACTGTCCCACAAGCTGCATACCTTTTTCCATCTTAAAAAAAAAGTAAAATCAAGTTCTATGGTGACACAATGTGTAAATGCCAATGTATCTGAACAAAAAAATGTTAGAGCTTTCCTTGGTAAAAACAAAAGTAAAAAAAAAAAAAACCCAACAAAACAGCTATGACAAAGACTGATCCATTCAGTTTTTCGAATGTCTTTATAATGTGGTTGTCCCTCACTCCTTGAGCCCTCCACTACATTCATCCTTAGCCAGTTCAGCTCACACCTGCAGAAATGCACTGTAAACAGAATTTTAAGTTACTGCTGCCTGTTTTCTGACCAAAATTAAGGTTCCCAATGTCATGCGATGTTAGAGATTAGATAATGCATTACGTTAGGAAGAAACTTGACTGCCTGTTTCCACTAGGACACTAAAATAGTTTGGTTTACTCAGTATGGTGGTTGTATCTACAGAATTGAAAGAATCACTGGGGGCCCTTTTTAAACACAGAATTCTAAGACCCAACCTGCATTGACTACAACACAGTAGAGAGGACCTGGGAATTTGAGTTTTATCCAGTGTATCGGGCAATTCTTGGCCTCAAGCAGGTTAGAGCAGTATTCTTAAAACTTAAATGTGAAAATAAGCCTGGGCTCTGTATCAAATGCAGATTCTGATCCAATTGGTCTGGATTGGGCCTGAGGTTCTGCATTTCTAATAAGTCCCCAGGTGATAATGCTGGTTTGAGAACATTTCAAGTAGCAAGGTCAGAGAAAGTATGTCTCATTGGGCTGGTGTATAGGCTACTACATTTTCCTCCTCTCCTACCTTGATTATGCCCATTTCTCAATTTTCACTTATTGTGACTTTATAAGCTAGTGTGATCAGTTAGGTTAGACATCCTGCCCTTCTCACTTAGCTTATATAAAAAGTCCACACAAAGAAGAAATAGCTTAAAATAAATAAAAAAAAAATAGACACCATACATTAACTTGCAACATAATGGGTTTATATTTGATATAGTATTTCTCACCATGGGGGAGTTACTCAATTAATACAAAGCTTTTAACATTAAATCTCTTCTCTATTTCAACATCAATAGAGTATTTTTTTTACATTATTTTTTTCTGCATTTCAATGTTAGATACATTGAATACATTTTCAAAACCTTTTACTTCCTAAGAAATAAAAGTTTTATGTTTTGACTGGCTATATTCTATATTCAAAATCTAGGTACAGTATTAATTTGGGAGATAACAAAACAAAAATCTAATAAAAATATAGAGAGAAGACTCCTCAACAATGCAGGAGGCAGTGATTACAATGTAATAGTGGCAACTTCCTAGAATCCTGGGCAAGTTTCCTTCTAATTTCACTGCTTTGAGAATTCTGAGATTATTAAATAATACTTATGTAAATTTCATCCATCTGACTTACTTGACCCTCTTTTTAACTAACAAATACAAATTATAGGCTGCATTTTTCAGTGCATTATTTGTTGTGAAAATAACTTTTTTTTCCATTTAACATATATCAATTTATTCCCATTTATAGGGAAAATAAGAATGTAAAATTACCCTATTCATTGTTTGTTAGGAACTTTCAAACACCAAAGCTCAGTTTTTAACCTCAAGCTCAAATATTTTCAGGGCAAGGTTTAATTCAGGAGGCCCTCCAAAGTCATATTTCTCCATTTCTCTTTCGTGCATATACCCCCAAACAAGCACAAATGCCTGTAATGCAGAGAACCACACCTAAAAAGAAAGCAATTGCATCTCCTGCTTCTACTGCGTCAACAACAGGCAGCACCAAAAGCAGTGAAATGAGGACTAAGAACAGCTGTGCTGAAACTGTCATGATGTTGGGACCTTGGGATAGCTGGATCTTGAGCGCTGAAGGTTTCTAGAAATTAAACACGGAAACAAAAAAGAATCATTAAAATTCCTTCCTTTTCAAAGTACAATATGAATACATGACAGTCTACACAACATTTTAAAGTTAAGTTTCAGACACACCTCATTTTACTGTAGAAAAAAAAACTAAGGGAAGTGAAAGGTACTTAAAGATGGTCATTTGAGGCTATTCTCCCCTTCTCATAACGCCATCGATTTTTCCACACTCTACAATGCCAACACGTGAGAATCAACCAAATTGAATAGCAGAATATAAGAACAGAAAATGCACAAGGCACACACTTGAAAACTTAAAATATCCTAGTGAGTAAAAATTACATTTTCTTAGGATTTCTCCCATCCAGGAAATACAGACAAATCTGGTAAAATTCACACAAATAAAATTCTATAAAGTTGTGGGGTATTAGTACGACTTACCAAAGAAACGATGTATGTATAATTTGTATCTTACTTGAAATACTCCTTTTCTGGGGCTCAGAATGCTGAAGCTAAGAGGTTCCACGTGTCAACGCCTGTTATCAGAAGAGAAAGGGAAGCTTTAAATATTACTCTTCATTATCATCACTATTACCATTATTATTATTTTTAGGGGGTAGCTATAGCCAGTGCAGATTAGGAGGGCGGTACGGAAGAGGGAGGAATGAGTAATAACTAGAGAAAACGGTAATAACTAGAGAAAACAGTTTGTTCAAGCAGGGGTACTAGACTTAAGTTGGTAGTAGACGCTCATACAGGAAAAAGAAAAAGAAAAAAAAATCGTAGCGAGAGACAAGTTCGTTTTAGGACTTTAAATATATTAAAAGGAATCCCTGCTATGGCCTGGCAGGATGCAAATTTGCCCCGTTTTACAAATACACTGTGGTAATCCAACTATCATTTCTAAGACAGTTCCTACATTACCTCACAGGAAGCAGCCATTACAGGAATGGCGAGGAGGGCGGTGTCTCTAAACTACATTTCCCACAGTCGCCGGGGCCCAGGACTCCCGGGATGCACCAGCGTGCTCCTCCCCGGCTGGATGTGAGGCGATGGCCATGCTCTTTAGAAGAGTAGCGAATGCGGGGTTTATCACGTCCCAATATTTTACAGATAAAATGGTTTAGTGTATTTGTACGAAAGCTACCTAATAAAGCTAGTAAGAACAACAACAAAAAAATGACAGCAACTTTTTTTTTTTTTTAACCCTGCCGAAAGAAGACAGTACGGCTTTTCCTTCTACTGAAGTAACAGCAGGAAGACATCACCCGAGTAGAGCCGTCTGTGTAGGAAGCTTTTATTTTTATTTACTTATTTATTTTAGCGGTTTCCCAGGATTTTGAAGGAAATCCACTGCCACCATCTAACAAATACGTCTTAGGAGTCTGTTAATTCTTTTTAACTAATGGAGGGAAAATATTTTAAAGACATTTTGGAAAATGTTAAAGCCAACTGTAGTGGGGAAAACAGACAAAGGTTTGGGAGAAATGGTTTAAGCGCTGTAAGAACATTCATATGATTCAGGTTCTGAGTTTCCATATTAATTCAAGAGTGCAGTATGTGGTACGCTTTAGTGATTTCTTCTCAATCATGGTTTTATGATAACCACTCTAAATGTCCCCAAATATTTGTGAAAAATATAAAATTATTCCTTTTAAATCATAAGAATGAACTTTTGCATATGTAAATTATAATCCATTCTGAATCTCTTGAAGTCAAATGTCTGAAGTCCTTACTGTGCCTTTGTAGTAACTGAATCTTCTTAACTCATTTACTGACTTCACGGATTATTTCATACCCCCAGATTGTCAGTTATTAATCATGTGGGTTAGGGATGAAGTCACTGCCCCATTTGAAAGTCACAGTCTCTCTCATACATTTTCTCAGATGCAGCAGTACAATGCCCATAAATAGCACGTTGATTATTTTCTTCTTACACCTTACTAATCTGTCTAGACTGACAGCAAAACTTTATATTCTGACCTCAACACACACACAGGAAGTACTCAGTAATGTTGGCCAACAATTATTTGACTAAAAATAATAAATAAATGTGCCAACAAGATTTTATGAGAGACAAAGAAGTACCAAACCTAGGAGTCTTACAAAGTGGAAGTCTGAGGATGAGTACACAATAATGTCATTACTAAACTCAAGGGGGTTTGTTGTTTAGGGTGCTCCAGGCAAGAATGAGACATGGTTGACACACGGTAGTTTTATCTGCTTTCAAGAAGTAAACGAGACAGGGTATTCATATCCAACCTCTGTCTCCAAGAAGAGAAGTTTAGCTCTTGCAAATATACAATATTTTGTCAATTATATGTTGATCTTTTTTTCTTTGCAGTTGGCTACATTTATGGGGTAAGATCCTGTCAGGCTTATCAGGCTTACAGCTCAACCTGCAAAATACTGTGCTACATTTTAACGCTTGGCAAGATTATCATTTAGTAACAATTGCCCAGGGCTTGAGACTCTTCTCCTAACATTGTAGGCGTTGCTTCTCTAAACTTGATTATTTTAACAAATTCTTTCTTTGCTTCATCTGCTTGATCTACTTTTTAACCTTTATTACCTTTTTAAACAATTATTTCAAATTGGAGCTATTTTTTATGGCTTCCAAAATATTCTTTTGTATTCTAGTATAAACATTTTTATATTTAATTTGTCCCCATATGTTAATTTCAGTTAGCTCAAGTCAGCAGAGAATTAATTCTTTCTTTTTCTTTTTTTCCCTTCCTTCCTTCCTTCCTTCCTTCCTTCCTTCCTTCCTTCCTTCCTTCCTTCCTTCCTTTCTCTCCCTCTTTCTCTCTTTCTTTCTCTCTCATTCTCTTTCTTTCTTTCTCATTGTCTTTCTTTCTATAGTTGTTCAAGTACAGTTGTCTCCATTTTCCCTCCATGACTCCCCCTGCCCAAACCATACCTACCTCCCACCCTTGACCCTACCCCTCTTTGGCTTTGTCAATGTGTCCTTTACACATGTTCCTTGACAACCCTTCCCCTTCTTTGCTCTGTTATCCTCCTCCCCACTCCTCTGTGGTCAGTGTCAGTTTGTTCTGTATTTCCAAGTTTCTGGTTATATTTTGCCTGCTTGTTTGGTTGATTAGGTTCCACTTATAGGTGAGATCATGTGGTATTTGCCTTTTACCACCTGGCTTATTTCACTTACCATAATACTCTCTAGATCCATCCATGCTGTCGTGAAATATAGGAGTTCCTTCGTTCTGCTGTGTAGTATTCCATTGCGGAAGTGTACCATAGTATTTTGATCCACTCATTTACTCATGGGCACTTAGTTTGCTTCCAGCACTTGGGTATTGTGAATTGTGCTGTTATGAACATTAGGGTGCGTAGGTTCTTTTGAATTGGTGTTTCAGGATCCTTAGAGTATAATCCCAGCAGTAGAATTGCCAGGTCAAAAGGCAGTTCCATTTTTAGTTTTCTGAGGAACTTCCATACTGTTTTCCACAGTGTACACCAACACTGAAATAACAGAATCATAAATCCAGAAAAATCCCATTTGCTATAGCAATAAGAAAAATACAGTACCTAGGAATTAACCAAACCAAGGGGGTAAAAGAACTGTACCCAGAAAACTATACAACACTGAAGAAGGAAATTAAGGAAAACGCAAATAAATGGAAGCATATAACATGTTCATGGAGTGGAAGAATTAACATCATCAATATGTCCATACTACCCAAAGCAATTTATAGATTCAATGCAATCACTATTAAAGTACTGATGATGTACTTCACAGATATACACCAAACATTTCAAAAATTTATAGGGAACCATAAACGACCCTGAATAGCTGCAGCAATTTTGAGAAGGAAGAACAAAGCAGGAGGGATCACAGTTCCTGATATCAAACTATATTACAATGCCACTGTAATCAAAACAGTCTGGTACTGGCATAAGAACAGACACACAGATCAATGGAACAGAACAGAGAACGCAGAAATAAACCAATTCTCTATGATCAATCAATATTTGACAAAGGGGACATGAGCATAAAACAGAGTAAAAATAGCCTCTTCAACATGGTATTGGGAGATCTGGACAGCTACTTGCAAGAATGAGACTTGACCACCAACTTATATCATATACAAAAATAAAGTCAGGATGAAGACTACTCTAAAGTAAGTGTTATTACATACTTGTTTCCAGATGTGTTAACATTGAAGATAATATTTTGTTTTTAAGTTTGAAGAAGCTGTAGATGGTAAAGTGCTTTATCCTTTTTACAGTATAAGAGTAAGAGATCAAGTAATGACTTTGCCCATCTGAAAAAAAGTGGCAGAAGTTTGTACAGGCATGTTTTGGGACCCCGTAGACTTAAAATACAATTGGCTAAATTCTCTTAACCAACAGCCATCCCAATATAAGGCAAATTTAACAAAGGTATTGCTTTTGTGTGCTTTATTGTAGTCATAGTTTTGGGACTAGCATGATATCGTAGTTCTCAGTTTTGTTTTCCTACTACCCTAACTACTGATTTAAAAATGAGATAATTTATATCTGTGCTTAAAACTCTTTGGTTGCATCATATTAAATCCAAACTCCTTATCAAGACCCAAAAGCCCTAAATATTCTGGCTTCTGCCTGCCTTTTTGATGTCAACCTACCAACCATCCATGGTTTACACTCCAATCACACTTTATTGCTGTTCTTTTTTGAAAGACATTTATTGTTATTCTATTAGTGTTGTCCCAATTTCCCACCATTTGTCCACCTCCGTGCATCTCACCCCCTACTCCCACAGTCAATTCCCACACTGTTGTCCATGTCCGTGGGTCATTCATGCCTGTTTTTTAACGAGTCCTTTCCCCTTCTTTCTACCACTATCCCCTTTTCCCTTCCTATTTGGCCACTGTCAGTCTGTTCCATCTTGACATGCTTGTGGTTCTATATTGTTCATTAGTTTATTTTGTTCATTAGATTCTTATTATAGGTGAGATCATATGGTATTTGTTTTTCACCACCTGGCTTATTTCATTTAGCATAATATTCTCCAGTTCCATCCATGCTGTCAGAAAAGGTAGGAGTTCCTTCTTTCTTTCTGGTGTGTGATATTCCATTGTGTAAATTTACCAGTTTTTTGATCCACTCATCTACTGATGGGCACTTAGGATGCTTCTAGAATTTGGCTTTTCTAATTAATGCTGCTGTGAACATAGGGGTGCATAGGTTCTTTCTAATTGGTGTTTTGGGATTCTTAGGATATAATCCTAGCAGTGGAATCAGTAGGTCAAAAGGAAGTTCCATTTTTAGTTTTTTGAGTAAATTCCATACTGTTTTCCACAGTGGCTGTATCAGTCTGGATTCCTACCAACAGTGCAAGAGGGTATGTCTCCACAATCTTGCTAGCACTTGTTTGTAGATTTATAAATGATGGCCATTCTGACCAGTGTGAGGTGATAACTCATTGTGGTTTAATTTGCGTCTCTCTGATGTCTAGTGATGCTGAGCATCCTTTCATATGTTTCTGGGACCTCTGTGTGTCCTCTTTGGGGAAGTGTCTGTTCAGGTCCTTAGCCCATTTTTTAATTGGATTGTTTGCCTTCCTGGTATGGTCATATGAGTTCATTATATATTTTGGAGATCAAATCCTTGTCTGAGGTATCATCAGCCAATGTATTTCCCCATACTGTTTAGTTCATTTTTCATTTGGCTGATGTTTTCTTTAGCCATGCAGAAGCTTTTTAATTTGATGAAGTCCCAGTTGTCTACTCTACCCTTTATGTCCCTTGCTCTAGGGGGATATATTGGTGAAAATATTGCTGTGTGGAATATCTGAGATTTTCCTGCCTATGTTCTCCTCTAGGACTTTTCTGATGTCACAACTTAAAGTTAAGTCTTTTATCCATCTTGAGTTTATTTTTGTATATGGTGTAAGTTGGTGGTCGAGTTTCATGTTTTTGCTTGTATGTGTCCAGATCCCCCAACACCATTTGT